AATCCATTCTGTACGCATATGCCTTCTTTTGCAATATGCAATGGTGTTGTTACGAGATAGTTTCCTTTTTTGTTAATGTTAATTGCAGTCCACGTGTTTGGTAGTAATATTAGGTGATCGTTACTTCGTAATGGTTTTCCGGTTCCTAATGTAGGTATTATATGTTTTCTATACTCGTTTGGTATGTGTGCTAATTCTTCATGAATTTTCAGCTTTATTCCTTTTTTCATTTCTACTGGTTTTGTTTCTAATATATTAATTTCTCTATCCTCATTTCCATACCCATAGTCTGGTGTTTTTCCTTTATAGCTCGGTGTTCCAGGTCTACTTGCTACTGGTCTTAGGTATGGTGAGTCTGATTCTTGGTTTATTCCTATTTCTATAGGATCTTTGTTGTATTCTGTTATTATCGATGGTCCTTCATTTCTTAGCTGTTGCTGTTCTTGTTGTAATTTTAGGTACTCATTTTTAAGATTATTTTTGTCTTCCTCTAATTTTTGTCTATAGTCTTTCATTGTCATTTGTTTTCTTTTTTCAAATGAGTCTTTTCTCGTTCTTTCAAATTGGTTTGTTGGTTTGTTTATTTGAGCCGTAGCTTGGTCTTTTATTACATTTACAGCTATGTTTCTGCTGTTATCTTTTTTGAAGTATGATGGGGTTATGAAATCTAGAGTATTCTTTATGTATGATGGCGATTTAGTTTGTTCACTTTCAGCTTGTTTCGTTTGCTCATGTTGTTGTTCTTGGGTTGCGCTTATATCGCTTTTTGCTTTTAAGTATCCGTCATCCCCTACTTCGTATTCAGTGTTTTCCTGGTTTAGTATTATTTCTTGTATACCTGGTTCTAACGGTGGTATACTAGGTATACTATCCGTATCTTTAAATGTTGAGTCATCTTCTCTTTGAAACAATCCTTTGGATATGTTTCTTATGATTTCTTCATCATCTCTAGCCAGGTCACTATTGTATGTTGAACTGCTTTTGTATGATAAGTCACTTGTCGACCCATTATTTGTTTTCTTCCTGTAGTTGTTAAAGTCTTGTTCGGTGAACAATACTTGGTCATTTTCTGGTTCAGGATTATAGTTTGAGTATTTTATTTGATAATC